CTTTTACACTTTCAGAATTAGAATAATAAAAACAACTTTGCACTTCAGAAAACATAAAATAGATGTGAAAATAGAGCAAGTGCAATCAAGTAAAATCTCAGAAATTAAAAGAAGATTAACACAAGATTTGTAGTGGTTGGGCAGAACCCACCTACATTCAATTCCCAATACTCATTTTGAAATTCTCCACTATATTTTCTCTTTTAAAGAATAAGAGACAAACTAACTTTATAAAGGAAATAGATCAAATACCTAGACCTAATTACCTTTAACCACTAAATTTACAAAGGTTCTAGTTGATTTCTACTCTTCTGTTTTACAGAGAACAGAAAATTCAAATTCAAAACATTATAATCTCACTAATGGAGAAGGTTGCTTGATACTCCTTACAACACGGCTTTATCACAAAAGCTAAACACAAATGTTTTCAGCTGCCAACATTTCTCCGGAAGTTTCACTAATTTGGGATGCATATGCTTTAGTAATGACACCCCAAAATCCTGAAATCCATAAGTTCCATTCTTACTTGGATTACTAGCATATATCAATCTAGCAACACTGATATTGTGATTATTAATTAGTCTAAAAAGCATTTTATCAGCACTAGAAATTTTACCAATAATTTAACCTATATTAAACAGGAAAAATAAAACATAGCAATAGGGAAAGTCATTTTCCATTGTTTGAAAGTAGGAAGGAAAATTTTAGAGGAAAGAAAATTAGGTTAAAAATTCTCCCGGGTCCACAACATTCTAGTCTCCCCAAATCGGAGAGAAAAATGTGTGGTTTGAGGCAAAAATGGCACTATCTGTAAAACTTTACAAAAATACCCATCATCTTCTTTTAACACATGTTCCTGCAAAAAATTCCATAGTAATTCACTGAATCCACTTTTGCAAAAAATTTGCTAAACTTTTGTACATTTACAATTAACCAAAGATAAAAAAATTATTATTATTCCTACACAATAAAAAAGAAGTCATGAAAATATCTTATACATCCTTAAAATATTAACATATATCATATTTAATATATTTTAATAAATTTAGATATTAAATATAATTATTATTTATAGATTAAAATATTAAATATGGGATGAGTGGTTCGGCACTCTTCGTGAGGTCCACGGTTCGATTCTCATAGATGAAGTAAATACTCATTGAGTCCATTTTACCCGTTAGTGGACGATCCGGTGCAAGCAAGATTTAGTTTTCACTCTTGTTTTTCAATAAAAGCAATACGATGGATAACTATGAAATGAAAATTATTTTAGATCAAGCAATTAAACTTTTTAATTGAATCTTAATTTAGATTTACATTTGAACGGTACATGTCAATACTGTGAGTATTAAAAAATAGTGGAAAGAAACAAAATATGGAATACTATGAAAAACTAAGAAGGTGTTGTGGTAAAATTATTTTAAAATTGAATTGATAAAAAGAAGAAGTTAAAATTATTAAACTATTCATATTCACAACATAAAAGAAAATCAATACGAGATTAGAAAAGAATAACATATTAACATATTATTTAAGAATAAGGATAAAACAACAAATTTGTAATAGATGACATTTTCTTTCCTCCTTGTATTTTCCTTTGAATCCAAACATGGGGTGGAAAATAAGGAAGGAAAATAAATAGTACAATCATTTTCCTCCCTATTTTCCTTCCTTCCTTATTTTCTTTCCTGCCCTTTTCCAAACAGTAGTGTTAGGATTCACATGGCTTGCCCAATCTTTTGATGGAGAAAATATTTAAACATAGAGAAAAAATTACCTTTTGTTTAAGAATGAATGGACATCAATGAACCATGGTGAAGAAAGATACTTAATCTTGTCATAGTTAATGCATTGCCTTTTTGATTTTTTATTTGAGTTGAGAAGGATATTGAATCAAATTTTAGGAGTAGACTAGAAGGGGAAGTGTTTATTAAATTTTCTGATATTTAAATGGCTAAAAGAACAAGAATAGTTACAATCCTCTCCAAGTGGGAGTGTACTTATGGCTATCTAGAGGATTGTACATGTTTGACCAATATAAAAATTTGAATGAATGTTAATGTACATTTGTGGATCATCTTTAGTCCTAAGTAATCAATTATGCATAAAATTGATGGGAAAAAATGTGAATTTGGGAAGACAAAATTTCGAGAGAATGAGAATTTTTTTTCTTTTTTTCTACTCAAGTCCTTTTATTTTATGTTGATTCAAGCTATTGGTACAATCGTTACAGGTGATTATTTTGTTGTGATTCAATTTATTGTTAGTGTGGCGTTATACTAACTATTGAAATAGTGCCAAACATATATTATTCCTTAAACCCTAAAAGAATTTCTTGAAGCCTTCGTCCCCATCTCAACATCTTAGTTCTACCAATTGCACCACTTATGGCTAGCCTACATTATAATGCTTCAATATGCTATGTTACAATCCTGTGTATATGGTTTGTTATTTGGAACCACTAGGTTAATATTTTCTTATCTACATTATACGACAGCTTTAAATGAAGCATCAATTGCAGAGGTTCATTGCTTGCGGGGGAGGGGGAGGGAAGAGATCCCCATCAGCAGCTTCCCATTTAATATAGATATTTACAACTAAATTATTTACTAATCTAATTATATCTTGAAACGTTAAGATATTTCAAAAATAAATCAATAGTCACTGAAATGCATAAGATATTGTATTATTGGTTCAGTACAAGTATAATTTCATAAGCCCAAATTAATTCAATTACAATAACAAATCAGGGAAAAAAATATTTTTCAAACATTTTAAAAACTATTTTGATAAGGAAGTTGTCGTTATGATGGAGGCTCACTTCAAATTAGTGTTTTTAAAACCAGATCGGAATGACTAGTCGGACCGGTTCAACCGTGAACCAGAAGTCAATTAAGTTTGGTTTGACATGTAAAGCCGGCAGGTGTGAAACCAAATAAAATCAGAGAAACCGAAAAATTAGATTGACCCAATTAAATCCAATTTTGACTTTTTTTGAACTTTTTATATCATTTTTTTTATCCAAGGTGTCCTCATCCATTATCATTACACTTACATGCACATGTATCAAGTTACATATGTACAAATAATTTAAAATGGTAGAGCTTTTTTTTTTTAAAAAAAAAAAAAAAAACATGTATCAAGTTAATATGAACAAATATTTAAAATGGTAGAGCTTTTTTTTTTTAAAAAAAAAAAAAAAAACTTAAAAACCAACAAAAGGATCCATACTAATTTTTTCTTTTTCAAAAAACATAATAAACTCATTTATGGCTTTAATAAATACAATAGATTTTTGTAATAAGCACTAGTTTAGTTAATTACTAAATTTTAATTTATTTTTTAAGTATTAATAATACAACTAATATTAATTATATTAATATTTATGAAAAGTAAACTATTTTCATTTTAGTTGTTTTATTTATTTAGTCAAAAAAAATAGTAATTAATTTGAAAAATGAGAACAAAATTTTAATGTTTAATTAATGTATTATAATTAAGTGACTAATTTTACGCATTGTGTCTCGTTAAATATTGAAAAAAATTTTAAAAACATTCCTTCAAATCATCTGAGCTCGAAGTGCAGTCGCAGAGAGGATTGAATCTTTTTTTTTTTTTTTTTTTTTTTTTTTTTTTAATAGAGAAGGATACATATTTACTGCTGAAGTTAGTCGTTTGTCGAAGAAGCCGTCATGATTACATTCAATCACAAGGGTAGACTCTGGGGAGGAAGGGATATTCACACAACTTTGATAAAAAAACGGCTTTTAAATTAAGGATGTGAATGTCTTTTTTTTTTTTTTTTTTTTATTTTTTTTTCTCGTTTCTCTAATGGCCAAATAATAGAGAAGATACATATTACTGTGAAGTTAGTGGTTTGTCGAAGAGCCGTTCATGATTACAATTCAATCACAAGGGTAGACTCTGGGAGGAAGGGATTCACACAACTGATAAAAAACGGCTTTTAAATTAAGGATGTGAATGTCCAAAAGTTTTTGATTGATAAGTGTATAACGCTAAATATTAGGGAGCGCTATTTCATCATTTAAAAGCTACTATATGTGTTAATTCACCAAATACTATAATATTTTTACCTAGTCAAGATATTAAAAGTTAATCCAAATATTATTACCGACCATAACTTAAATCTTAAGTGGATCAGGATAGATGCAAATAATGATATTATTAATAAATGTTTTGTGACTGAATTCATAAATTTACCCTTAAATTTTGCAACTTTAACATTGTGGCACCTTGAACTTTGCAAATGACCTATTGTACATCTAAACTTGTAAATTTTGATAACATTACACACTTTTCGATAGTAATATCAATAATTTTTAGGATTTTTGATTTATATCAGCAAAATATTGACTTGACATGTAGTTAGCATTAATTTTTGGAACAATAATTTTCATAAATTTCAACTTTTTAATGAGTTTTTAATTTATCTAATTTTGCAAGTTGAAGTATTCAATAAAATAATTTTGAAAATTGAAGTGTTTAATAAGTGTAGTGTTATAAGTTGAAGTATTTGATGGATCAAAGTAAAAGTTGAGAGTGCCATAAGATCAAAATAACAGAATTCATAGATGAATTTATGTATGTGGCTAATGTTTTGTAGATAACTTGCCATTAGAATAATCTACAATTTAACAAACTGAAGAATAAAAAAAATTGTACATTTTTGTTAATTTAATAAAAAATAAAAAATATTATTATATTTTTTTTCCAATTTCTAACAAATATGATATATTGCAATGAAATTCTAAATTATAATTCGATAATCACAAAATTAAAAATTTGCTATTGCACTCCAACAAAATTTGAGATAAAATAACATATTAACCATTTATTATTATTATTATTATTATTATCCATTTGGTCCATATATTTTCATTTTTTTTACCTTCGCTCCACTTTTTAACTATTTCTTTCTATTTGGGACGACAGAAAAGTTCTAGCAATGACTTGTTTGTTTGTTCGTTTTGTGGGCATAAACCCCACGGTAATTGGTAGCCCATGTAAAGCCTAAAATGAATTCTGTCCAAACAAACCCATTTCCAGCCCCTTCGGAAGCCCTCTTTTTTCTGTTCTCCCAAGTTAATTTGCATTTTAACAATTTACCCCCTAGAGAGAGATGGCGATACGAAGACTGTTGCTGTTCTTGAAACCGTTTGACGTGTGCCCAGTTAGCCAATCTAAGAGCCTCCCTCCAATCAACAATCCTCAGGTATTTTTCACATTACAATAATGTGAAGCTCTTCTTTCCTTTTCCGATTCTATCATTTGCAACGCTTTTTTTTTTTTTTGGTTAGTCTTATAACTGTTTGATGAAATGTCGAAATGGGAATGTTGACTTCAAATGCTTAGAATCTATCTGATGTTTGGTTGCTAAGAATACGCAAGAAAATTTTAAATCTTTGGTTGCTATGTCTCTATTGCAACTCAATTAGCTGCGCACAGTCTGTTGTTTTGTTCGGCATTTAATGTTCATTGCTTTCTTTTTTGGTATAATTCTGTTCTTGTTCTGTATTGGCCAAAGGAGCAATCTATATAAAATTTGATATCAAATTGTTAATATCTTGGAATCTTCTTTTATGGTAGATTTCTAAGAATCAGTAACGTTGTTGGATGAATTGATAGCTTCCCTTTAATTATTGGTATAGCTATTTTGGAAAATCTGCGGGTAGCTGCAGTTGTTGTGGGATCTGTTAAACTCATGGCTGGTGAAGTTGTTGGTTCAATGAGGTTGGAATTATCAGTTTCTGTCCACACTTGATAAAAAAGGATATCCAACTGTGTTAGATGTGCTTATTTTTTCTAGTTTTTGCTCTGGGAGAGATGGGATAGATTTAAACTTTGTTGAATGTTCTTATTTTTCTGGTTGTTATGGTACTGGATTCATGTTCTTTAGGCCCATGAGCATTATGTAATTTATGCTCCATCTATGAAAGCTTGATCACACAATATGGGATAGCTTGCTCGATTGCAACAATGACTATGATTTGAAACTATGTTATTTGGACATCATTTATCATTGGAAATATATTATAATCTATCTTGAACAAATTGCTTTACAATTGCTAGAGAATGATTTAAAAATATCATATAACATGCATTATGATGTAAACAATCTTTGAGCAATTCTATAATCCTGCTGTTTATAAGGAATTACTGTTGATACTAAAATTTGAGCCTTTGTTAGAACAATTCTTTTGGTGGAGAAGTATATAAGGGATAATTTGATGTGAGATGTTATCTGTTTGTCCTTTTCTCCCTTATTTGAAAAAAAAAAAAATATCAAGCTATTGTTAAGACTCTAATTTGACCTCGTTTGGAGGTTCTGCAGGTGTTACATTATCTGGACAACAGGCGTAAGGTTCACAAGGATGCCGTAAATTTCTGTAAAGACATATTGCAGCAGAAATCAGTTGATTGGGAACCCATATTGCGCACTGATTTGTCACAACCAATTCGTGATTTTGATTTAGTTGTTACTGTTGGTGGTGATGGCACTCTTTTGCAAGCAAGTCATTTCATGGACGACTCAACCCCAGTTCTGGGGGTAAACTCAGACCCCACTCAAGTTGAAGAGGTTATTTGATTTTTCTGTCTAAAGCTCAGATCCATGTGCAGTGCACAAGAATGCATTTCTTGTATTACCTGCATAATTTCCTGATGTTTATATCAACTAGGGAAGTATTGTTTTATTCTTTGGTGCAGGTGGAGAAATTCGGTAGTGATTTTGATGCTACTAGAAGTACTGGCTATCTATGTGCAGCTACTGTCAAAAACTTTGAGCAAGTAAGAACTGCTGTAATGAAGAATAAGTGGCAATTAAAAAAATTAAAGAATAAATAATAAAATGCAACTCTGACACATAGACACATATGTTCACACATCACATAAGTAGAAGCTACTGGTAGATGGGAATCCTATTCCGATTTCGGGTCTAGTTTTCTGGACAGTCACTGTTCAGGCTAGATCCGATAGTACTCATTCTTGCAACCTATTCTCTTTATCTTAGGAAAGATCTATAAACTTCTATATTAATATTGATTTAACTTTTGGAATAAGAACTAGCACTTGAGTTGATAAAAAAAATTAAAAAGGTCAACTGGAAATGAAACCTTTGGCTAAATTTCTTTCCAAAATTCACCATTTATTCTTAAAAAGGCATCTTGACTTTATATGTATTAGAAGGCTTTTTCTTGGTAAAAGTTTTTTCTGTGCAGACCTTGCTCTTATTTTTTTTTGTTGTATATACAGTTATTCTTTCTCTTTGCGTGTTTTCTTGTTTGACTCTATATCATTATCCTCATAGAGAGTGCACAAATTAATCCAAATAAAAGTCCTGGTTGAATTATTTAATGATAAGCATTTCTTTCAGGTACTAGATGACATCCTTGAGGGTCGACGAGTTTCTTCTAACTTAACAAGGATATCAGTAAGAGTAAATTCACAACTGCTTTCAACATTTGCTCTCAATGACATATTGGTTGCACACCCATGTCCTGCAACAGTTTCACGGTTCTCATTCAAGTAAGTGTTTTTCCCATTAGATTTGAGTTGTATATTTAGAGTTTTGTTATCACATATAACCATGTTATTCTTCTTGTTGACAGAATTCAAAGGGATGGCAAATCATGTACCCCATTAGCAAATTGCCGATCAAGCGGTCTTAGAGTCTCAACTGCTGCTGGATCAACTGCTGCGATGCTTTCTGCAGGTGGATTTGTAATGCCCATTCTATCTCAGGACCTCCAATACATGGTAAGAGAGCCAATTCCACCTGGAGCAGCAACTTCTAGTTTAATGCATGGGATAATTAAATCAGATCAGTCCATGGAGGCCAGATGGTTTTCTGAGAAGGGTAAAATATACATTGATGGTTCTCATGTATGCCACTCTACTGAATATGGGGATACTGTTGAAATATCTTCAAAGGCCCCAGTTTTGAAGATTTTCTTGCCTCACATTACGTTATCATAGTGCATGTGAAATCAGTTTAGTGTAAATATCCATAAGAATAAAATAACTAACAAATTTTTTTGCACACTAATCATTAGCGAACAGGATATGCTTGTTAGGATTGACTTGGTGTATGGGAGTGCGTATACAAATTTTAGCCTGTAGGTAAATCATTATCTAAAAAGAAAAATTTTTTTTATCTAAGTGAGTATAGTAAAAAGAAAAAAAAAAAAAAAAAAAAAATCTAAAAAAGAAAAATTTTTTATCTAAGTGAGTATAGTTAAAAAGAAAAAAAAAAAAAAAAAAAAAAAAAAAAAAAAAAAAAAAAAAAACACCATTTGATTGAAAATAATTATGTGGTTCAAACATATTGATAGATTGGAAAATCCAAAATATGCCTGCTGTGTGGGATTAGCTTTATGTGTAAGGCTTAATATTACTGTTTTGTGTTCTTATTGTAAAAGATGATTAGAGAGCCCAAGGAACATGTTCCCTTTATAAGCATTGCCAAAGGTCTATTGAACCGTTTAGAGAGAATCTCTCATGGAGATGGAATCTCAAACCTCTTACTGACCGTTGGATTTAACCAAATTTTCTCGTGGTACTTTTGCTATTACCACTAGGTCCTTATATATTTTATTATTTAATCTATTAGATGTCCTCCACAAGTGTTGGATAAATTCTTTTATTTATTTATTTATTTATTATTATTATTATTTCTTAACTGTAGATAAACGTGAATTATCGCTTGTGATTAAGCAACCAATTAATCCTTCTTCGAAGAATTATACTGTTTTAGCTGCTTTCTTTTTCTAAATTTTTCAGTTCATTATTTATGCTTGAAATTTATGAATCCATTATTTTTACCAAAAACAGGTAAAAGAGGGATAAGTCCAAAATTTTTCAAATATCGGCAATTTGGGCTGTGCATGGTTCCTGGCAGAATCAAATCTAATTGCAGGACTGAATCGGAATTGAAAAAGAACCGTTTTACAAGAATCAGAATCGGAGCTTAAGAAATTTATGTGTTGATTCTAATTTTGATTTTTGTTAAAACTGAATCAGAATTGGACCGGAAATGTATTGGATCCAAACATAACCGAAATTGAACCGAAGAATCAATTAATAAATACATATTTTTCATTTTTAGATATGTCATTCAATTTAAAACTCTAAAACAATTATGCATTTTATTATTTAAATTAAAAATTGCTCATTTCGTTCTTTTTATATAGAAATAATTAAATTATCATCAAAATTAAGAAAGTAGTTCAACCAATATTTCTCACTTTTTTTTTTCTAATTTACCCTCTAATATCTCATTAACATCTTCTTCTAATATCAATGTATGATTTAAATTACGTTTCAATATTAAATAAGACTTTAAATGCTTTATTGGAACAAAGAGAATATAGACGGGTACAAAAAATAAGGTGTGTGCTTTGACCTTTTGGGGGATTTTTTTTTTTTTTTTTTTTTTTTTTTTTTTTTTTTTTTTTTTTTTTTTTTTTTTTTTTTTTTTTTTTTTTTTTTTTTTTTGTCCTTGCTTGGGAAAGTTGTGTAAAACTATGAAACTTGTGCTTATTTAACCTTCCAACCGTTTTTAGTTATTGAAAACGTATTTTACGTATAGCGCAATTTTTCAAATATTCGGACGGAGTTCGTAAGGGTAATTTTCAATGTGGTCAACTCGAAAATTTTGTGGCCATTGTATAGGGAGCTATGTTGTGCAACTGATCCTTCAGTCTCAGTAATTAGCAGCCCTATAATATTGACGTTGTAGTCATAGTTGTGGTTCCTAAACTTCCTGATCATACTGCATATTGCCTATTATCGGAGCAAGAGGAGATGGTTGTGGTGGGGGCACCATGGTGATCCGCCTTTCATCCTCCAAGACGCAAAACATAGCATTCACTGAGTGTAGTACAGAAGCAATATTTTGTGGAGATAGTGTCACAAGTCTAATACAGGCATCCTTTAATCGATCCTCCTAATAGTAGATAAACATAAATAAATTCCAACAATTATCATCTCAATATTATACTCATCAAGTACCTCTATAGTATAAATTATATATATTTGCATACTCACAACTGCTCTTAAGGCAACTCCAGCATGTGAAATCCAATGTTGGGCAACACGACGATACCACTCCAAATAATAGGAATGATAGTGGAGCGCTGTGTAGCAGGTGTGCGGGGAACAACTCTATTACTTCGAATCACCCAACGTGAAATCCAAGTTGCATGGGTAGCGATCTAGTTGGACTTAGACTATCGTAGATTTGTCAAGTGAAGGTCATCAAAATAATGGGGCTACCGAGGGATTGGTTTTGCATCTTGAATTGGTGCATCATCCTATTTGGATAATGCCACTCAACATTATGAAAACATAGTAGAGGGACTTATGCTCTCTAAATACCATGACCTTGTAGACAATATTTTGAGAGTGCTTCAAGGACATCATCAGAGCATGGTTCTAATCTTATTGCAATTCAAAACAAGTATAGAAAATTTTGGAATTACTAGTTTCAAGAAGGGGACAAAATACATTTTATAGTGAAAATTATGAGGTATCATACCTGCCGATATGATGTCCTATCAAATTGGTATCTAATATGAACAAGCATATGGGTAGTGACCTTTGTTATTTGACGAGCGTTGCTCCACCTGCCATAAAATAGCATGACTATTTATATGGCATTTTCATCTAGATAAAAGTTTTTTTCAGTTTTAAATTACCTACTACCCAATGGAGCATCAATGCAAGGGTTAGGATGAGTTATAGTGGGAACAATTGTTGTAAATCTCTTCCAAACCCAAATTTGAAGAATGAATAAGGCACTGCTAATTATTGAGATTGAAGGATTAGTTGCACAACATAACTCCCTATACAAATAGGCTAAGACTGTCCCACCCCAACTATAATTTCCTGTCCTATCAAGATCGACAGGTAAAGGCAAATAGATGAGGGAGACTTGTTGAAGTTGTGGGTCCCGTATGTATATGGCACAACCTAAGAGGGGGGGTGAATTGGATTTTCTAAAAATAAAAATTTAACTTTAAAAACAAATTTCTAAAAATAAAAATTTAACTTTAAAAACAAACTCAAAATTCTATAGCAGCAGAAAAATAATGCACTTGTGAGAATAAGTTATTGATTAGAACTTCCTCACAATACTTATGAAGAAAATGGAAAGACTTTGCAAAGTACAGTTATTGATTAGAACTGCTTCACAATATCTTATATAATATCAAAAATTGCTTTATGAAGGAAAGCTATTAAATTTAGAACTTCCTCATAAAGTTTAGATAAATATAAAAGACAATATGAGAGACAGTTATTGAAATCTGAACTGCTTCATAGAGCTTTAATCAAGATTAAAAAACTGATTAGAAACCCAAATAGTGAAATATACTGAAAATAGAAGAACAATAGAAGAACAGTTTAGAACTTGGTATATTCACTGAGCAGAATTCCAGAGTTCTAATGTTCAGAAAAGATAAAGCTTATTCCAATTTAGAACATCAAAACCTTTAACAATTTTAGCATTTCTAAAATATAAATAGAATTGTAAATAAAATAGTATCAAGCAGAACTTCAGAAAAATAAAAAGATCAACACAATGATTTATAGTGGTTCGGTACTAACTCGCCTACATCCACTCCCCAAGACTCATCTTGAGATCCTCAACTATGTTATCTCTTTTCAAGGGTAAGAGAGAAACTCTCTTTTCAAAGGTAAGAGACAAACCAACAGTACAAGGCAATAGATCAACTCCTAGATCTACCCTTTTGTCCCATTAGATTTTTCCTAAAGTTCTAGTTAACCCTCAACCCTTTCCTGTTTTGGATAGAGAACAGAAACTCAAATCAAACATTAGAATCTATCTGCACGGAAAAGGTGGCTTGCATAAACATTTCACAATAAGCTTTTTCACCTAAGCATTACAAAAAAATGTTTTCAAATAAAAAACCTATCTACAAGAGATTACAGAATCTAAATAGACAGACGAGATGCAAATATAATGAAATACCTCGAATGTTATTTTCAAAACTTTTGGAATTTTCATTAAATCAAAAAATCCAGATTTATTTGAATATATGAGGCCTGTTAAGAACCCGAGTATTCTAATTGAGCCCAAAGTTTTACGAATTGGCTCAAGCCCCAAAAAACAGTATTAGTTAGAATTTTCGTTGGGTAATACTTAAAATTTCCGATTGAAATAAAATGGAACGCTAATTGTTAATCGATTAAAAAATGTTGTCTATATATATTGTAACTACTGTATAAAATTAATCAGCTAAAATTAAATATCTTTTTATTAATATTTTATGAAGTAAATTGAAGAAAATATTACAGAACTGAGATAATAATCAAATTATAATTGAACCGGACCCAAAATCAAATTAATTTTTTCGAAAAACCAGATAAAAAATCCATAAAATCAAATTTGAAAAAACCAAGCAAAACCATGATTTAAACCAAACCAGACTCGAATCGACCCAAACCCCATCCGACCAATTAGAAAATTGCCAATTAGAAAATTCTAGAAAAAAAAAGAAAAAAAAAAGAAAAGAAAAAAGAGAAACGAGAAGAGAGACTCAGTGGTCTCTCTCTCGCTCTTCTCTCTCAACAACCCCCCTCCCCTTTTCTTCTCGTTCTCCGACCACCGGCCTCCAAATCCGGCAAATAGATACTCTAAAAATATCTACTCGTCGCAAGGAGTTTGATTTAAACTTTGGCTCCGTTGCAACAACTTCTCCGGCGATTTCCCATCGCTTCCGATGACTTGAGGCGTCGAGGTTAAATTTTCCGGCCACCATGCACGGCGGCGACAGCGGTGGTCCGGCGAGGCTCCGGTGAGACTCCGGCGAAGACCCCGAGAGGCAGAATGATCTCCTCTTCGCGCGGATCACGAAAATCAAATCCAATTTTTGATCGGTACATTGTAAGGCCTAGTCACCGAACCTTTCCGGTCAATTGTCTGGACCAAATAGTTTCTCACCCACCTTGATTTGAATACCATACTTAGTGATCCTTCATCGAAAACGGAATAAAAATGATGTATCGTTTCGTCAATTTTTGGATGAAGGTTAAAATTTTCCGGCACCGTGCACGCGGC